TGTGGAGGAGGCAAAATTTTACTTGCATCCTCCTAGGTTTTTTCTTACTAGGCCTTAGGATTAAATTGATGTTAAGTTGTTTATATAGATTTCCCTCAGCCTCAACTTTTCATTCTTGATGATTAAGAATGCTAAGTCTTGTGGTATAGAAAAGACATCTTTCATATGAGAATTTATCCTAGTTACATCTATTTAATCCCCTTATTCTTAATTGTTATATTTGGATTGTTCATAAAAAAACTATGTTAAACCAATAGCCATCAGGCTAAGTCATTCTTCCTGCTAACAAGCTTTTGTAATATAGACACAACAGCTGATTTTATTAGTAAACCTAGGTTTTTAAAAAAAAGTGCAGCACCTGTATGAGATATAACGCTAAAAACTCTGAAGACATGCCTGTTTTAATCAAACCAAAATATTCTCACTTATTAATCATTACTCAAGTCATGTGATCTCAAAAAGCATTTGGGTCCATTTTTAACAGAGCTCTTTTCATTTAATTTGCCATCATCATTAAGAGATTTAAAAAATTATCACATACATATATACATCATACATTCATGCAGACATATATAAATACAGAGACAAAAAGACAGAAATTTTAAATGTAATACAATCCAAGCTGAATAAATAACAAGGCTCACCTTCGTTTAGCGTGTTCATCCTGCCCATCCTGACTTAACTGGGTCTTTTCCTTCACTCTCCTTTCTTGGTTCAGACAATGATGGTATTTGAGCCTGAAGTTTCAACTCTGTGCCTTTGAGATGTTAATTTTCTATATTATTTTCTCAAAGACCTGAAAACTATAATTTTTTTTAAACCAAGTTGCTTTGAGTATTTTTTTTCCAGAGTTACAGTTGTTTTCTATAGAAAGTTCAGCTATGACAAGACATGACTTAGCCATGCCAGAAGCAGAACCAGTGAGGCACTGTTTGAGCAGAAGACACATAAGCTGAAAACATCTAACATCTGTTTAAAAATTATATCACACCATATGATAAGCCAAAAAGAATAAGAAAAAGACTAAGACTTAAAGAACAAAATGTCATGAAGTAATTTTTTCAAAACTTTTGAATCGGAATTAGTATTTCTGTATCTTTTTATGCTTCTATACAAGTGATTGATGCATTTGATATTTTATAATTCAGTGGGAAAAATCCTGATTTCACATTAGCAGGAATGAAGAAACTCCATTTGGGATACCATCAGGAAAGGAAAAAAAAAAGATTTTCAGAGTCTTCTGAAGACCAGATCTATTTTCTACAATAATTTAAACTGTCATTTGAAAGGTTGTGTAGGACAAAGATAAATTTGGAAGATGCCTGACCTCTCAAAGCCAAGCTCAATTCCCCTTCCCATGAAGTCTCTTTTGTTAAATTGTGTTTATATCAATACTTTTTTCACAACTGCCTGTGCCACACCAAATAGTCCTTTATCATGTATTTATTTCTATATTTGAGAATATTAGTTAGAAAGGAACTGATAGATGTTACATAAACTCACTATATAGTAAATATTTGGTATTTGTTAAGATACAAGATAAATTGCTGTAGAATAAAGAGTGACAGAGGGAGAGACTCCCAAAGTGCAATGCCTTAAACAAGATGGAAATGTGTGTTCCTCTCACATAACAGTTCAAGGGTAAGCAGTCCTGGCTGCTAAACTGCCTCTACCCCCTCAAAATATAACCTCTTTTTCTGGAGCCAAAGTGGCTGTTCCAATTTTTGTTATCTTCTGATAAGTAGAAAAGTAGAAAAGGACCAGTGGATTCAAGCACAACCCTCTGTAAGAGCAAGAACAGACCTGAAGTGGTACATATCTAGCTGCTCACATCTCACTGGCCAGACCACCCTTCGGTGGCACATATGGCTGCAAGGAATTCCAAGCGATGCAATCATTATGCAGGAAGCCACACAGCTAAAACTGTTACCCGGAAAGAGGCAGTAAATGAATGTTGGGGGACAAACAGCACTGTGTCACTCCTTAGGTAGTAAGTGAAATTCATGAGGATTACGTCCTGACATTTTCTGAAATGCCCAAATGTGCAATCCCCTCTCTCCCTTATAATGGACACCTGAAAGTGCACACTGAGTGATAAATAAACACAGAGCTGCCCAAGGTCATGATGACAGGCTCAGCTCAGCCAGCTCTCTCCATAAATGAGTGATAGACGATTTTCTCTTTCGTCCTCACTGACTGATTCAAATTCATGGACGTGTGCCTTCAAGTTTGATTATGAACATTTGAAACTGTTCATTTTTGTCAGTGCTGAGCCCTAATTGCTTATCAGAATCAAATCACAAACACACACACACACACACACGCACACACACCTGACAGGTAGTCTGGTTTGTTTGGTCTGTAGTGATGGTGGGGGAGTTTGGCATTGGTCTTTGTGAAGCTTGTGCAGGTGATTCTGATGCATAACCGGAGCTGGGATCTGCTGACCTAGGACTTTCCGACTCCATGGCTGTGGGAGATACAAAGCAGCACAGGGTATGTCTCCCGCCTTCAGAGGTACTGAACAGGCTGTTCACCTCACTGTTCATATCACCTCATTAGCACTTCATCACATGTACGAATTCTCTAGTGTAACTGTGTCCAGGCCATAACTTTGAGGATTTAACAGGAAGCATGAACTGACTGCCAACTTTGATTCTGGGTGCAATGGCTTTCACACAGTTAAGTGTCATGGTTCCTTCTCTTGAGGCACCAGAGCCTAGAAGACAGAAGGGAAAGTCCACAGTATCAAGTGTTAAATTACAAGCCCCAATCTGACTATTTTTTCTTCAAAAAACTTAATTGTTGATATCTCATGGGCTCTTTTTAAGCAGTTTTAGTCTCATGTGTTATTGGGGGTGTTTTAGGTTCTTGGTGCAAAAGATAAAAAAATATGTAGGTTCAACTGTGTGGATCAGAAACCCCAACCAACAATGGCTTAAATCAGATAGAAATACACTCATCACAGGTACAAGCTGAGGCAGGTGGTCCAGGGCTGCTGCAACAGTCCACGTTAGGCACCAGTCTACAGTGTCATTCTCATCTCCTGGTCCCGGCTCATTACCACCTCCAAATACAGCTGGTATGAAGGGTTCAAGGGGCAAAATCCCCTTGTCATTTCATATATTTCTTCTTGCATACTATTAGCAAGAACCTAGCTGGCCAGTTGGCCACATCTAGCTGTAAGGGAGCCTTGGACGTGTACTCTGAATTATCAGCAGCCATGTGCCAAGCCAAACATTCTATTACTACTGAAGAAAGAGAGAATAACTCTTTGGGACAACTAATGGTCTGTCATAGGAACAGAGACAAAGCTTACCTGGTAGTGAGCAGAGCCAAGTAAATGATTACTTGCCACCAGTTTTTGGGTAGGAGATGCTGTCTTACCTAATGCTCATAAATCATATACCTACCAGTGTATAAAGAGCTCAAGTCTGCAAAGAATGAGTTATTAAAAAATTCCTTTAGTATTTGTAATGAGGAAATGATGTTTAAAAACAGAACAATTGCCCCCCACCCCTTCCTCTGAAAGCATGTTGACCTCACACTTTCCACTCAGGCTGCCAGCTAACACCTCTCACCTTCCTCGACCAAAACCTCCGCCTGTGTAAGAGCTGCACAATATGGCAGGGGACTGGAGAGACACTTTTCAGACAAATCGCACCCATGAAGACAGCACAGATGAGAAATCCACAGCAAGTTTATTCATTTGTGAGGCACAGAAAGAAAGCACTAAATATTTGTTTGTCTAGGCTGCCAGTATATGCTTTTCAAAATGCTTAAAGCAAGTAATGCCAATAATATAATGAGATACCACATTGCAAAGAATCTTAATGCTATTTATCCACTCTAAAAAATATTTTCAATTAAAGCCAATTACATATTTACATACACAGATACCTTATATATAAATTACCTATAGCTTTTTTGAAAAATAGTATGATGTTCATACTAAACTTTATTATCATTTAAGATTCCATAGGGTAAACTTGATAAGGCCTTAAACTTAATTACTTGGGAGTAATGTCTTCTTAAGAAATGGTAGTCAGGATAAAAATAATTTACAGATTCATCTGTCTTAGAACAGGAGGAAGCTTTAGGTAATCACCGGGTTCAACCAACTACTTAAAACAAAGAATTATTATCACTTTTTAGATCTAGAAGCATGGACTCTTGATGTTAAATGACTCACTCAAGCCTCCATAGCTATTAAATATCCCTCTTTCTTAACTCCTTTTATTTAATCAAACAAATCTTGAAGCTGATTTCATGTGTAATCATAAGACATTCAAGTGCAAGATAGTTTACTAAGAAATCCCATTCCAGGATCCACTCCACTTATTGAACAAGATAAATTAAATTTGTTTAATGAAAATACACAACAAACATTGCATTTAGCTTGTTGGCTTAAATTTTAATTAGTGAATCATAGCCCCTACTATGGAAACACATGATATAAAGACCAATATAAATAAATTGCTGGATTGACTAAGTGAAACACATCTAGATCAGTGCAAAACACTCATTATATTCAGAGCCATATTTCAGAAGACAGGAAAGGAATGTAAATAAGAAAAATATAATTCAGAGAAGGTTGGCGTATTTGCAGTTAGAGTATCTTGGATTGAATGTCTTTATATTTGATTCCGAAGTGCTAACTCAGGACTATCGAAGGGGCTCTGAGCCTCAGACACAAGATCGTGCCTCTTTGTGAGAGTCCCCTCCCCACAGACGGCTCTGTAGGTGTGTCTTTGGACAGTGAGGGCACATAGGCAGGCTCTGGAACAACTCCTGGCTCTAGGTTTTGGGGCTGAGATGCCGTGGGCCTATCATGATGGAACACAGCCAGGTTTGGAAGGAGCAGCCAACTCTGGTGACCTGGCGGTATCACCAGCATGTCCGGGGTTGCAAGGGCTCTCTGCGGATCTGGTAGATCTTCCCGGTTGCTTCTGTACACCTGACGTTTTCTGGACAAGACAAGCCTTCGAGAGATTAGGTAGTAATATGTTCCAAGAAAATGTTTAATACACTGGACAGAAAGCAATCACAGGCCTCTCACTGGAACATGACCAGTCTCAAGCTTGATGGGTCCACCAGTCTGAAGAAAGTCCACTGACTGGAGTACGACTAGAATGTCTAGTCCTCAATTTTCTGCCACACAATATGCTTGTGCAACAGAAATCTGGGAAAACTACATAACAAATGGTATCAAATAACACCTAATCTAGTAAAATGTGGCAGCTGGCCAGAGTAATAACTGCAGTCAATTACAGTGATTTTGGATTATACTTAAAACCTTCTGCAGGACCTTTTCTCTGGAGGGGCTGGCATCAACCACATGGCAGCCAGGATTCTCCATCCGCTGGTAGCACACTTCGACCCTAGGGACAGGCAGAACAAAGAGCCGGCTTACTTAACACAGTCCTTCATGCTAATGTTATTTTCCTGCCATAATATAAACAGCTTGAAGCCAGGTCCTCACCTTACTTATGTCACCGCTCCCCTCGGCAGCGAGCTTTGCCCACAGAAGACATTTAAAGCATTTTGCTTAATAAATAATGTTCATAATAATGTTTAATAGCTAGTATTTACTGGATACCTATTAGCTGCCAAGCATTAGCATTCTGCATAACTCTTCTCATTTAGTACTCAGAATAACCTTAGGAGGAGAACCACTCCCAACCCCATTTTGCAGAAAAAGCAGCTGAGGCCCCAAAAAGTTAGATAAAACTGAAATAATACCTTCCCTGTGAATCTGTAATGAGGTTTAATTATATTAATGCAAGTAAATGGCTTAACATGGTGTCTTTACACACAGCTGCTGCTATTGTTATTTATAACAGCACTATGTTATGATAATAATGCTATCACTGTCCATTTCTTTTTTTTTTTTTTTTTTGTTTTTTTTTTTGTCCGGCAAAGGAACGCAACCCCCAGTGTCGCCCCCGTACCGGACCGGGACCGGCAACGGGATCGCAACCCTCAGCGCTGCTCCCACGCCTGGCTCAGACAGTGAGCGGGAACCGGTCTGTATGTGGGATCCGAACCCTCGGGCGGGAGTGCCGCCACGCTTCCCAAGCGGCACACTGTAGCAGTGCACCACCGGGCCGGCCCCACACTGTCCATTTCTATACCCTGTTTCTGCTTTAGCTTTAAAGCGGTGCTATAGGACTTATTCATACTCAGCCATGAAGCAGTAAGACTGACCAGACTCTCTTCTGCTACTGTGTTTATAACTTTCTTTTCTCTTCAAAATCAGAAAGATCTTGTCTTTAATCTCAGTTTTACTACTTAATAGCTATGTAAATTCAGTCAAATCACTTAATCCTTTCAGCCTTAGTTTTGCAAATTGTAAAACATGGCTAAGGTTTTCCTTGCAAAAATGTAGGGTTACTGGGCCGGCCCGGTGGCGCACTGCTACAGTGTGCCACTTGGGAGCGTGGCGGCGCTCCCGCTGAGGGTTCAGATCCCACATACAGACCGGCCGCTCACTGGCTGAGCGAGGTGCAGGTGCAGCCCCGAGGGTTGCGACCCCGTGGCCGGTCCCGGTCTGGTGTGGGCGTGACACTGAGGGTTGCGATCCGTTGCCGGTCACGAAAAAAGACAAAAGGGAAAAAAAAAATGTAGGGTTTCTCAACATCATAAGTAAAATGCCTGATGCATGGTAAGCACCTAATAGATAAAAGTCACTTTGAGTTTGTGATCCAGAACTCTGTGCCCATTACATTAGGTTGGGGAAACTGAGGTACAGAGACACGTTTGTCTTACCCAGGTTCACGCTGTTGATGCCTCAACCAGGACTGGAAGCAAGGCCTGATCCCTAGTGAGATACTCATTGCTTTAAAATAACAGTGCTGTAGCTTATGGCAACAAGCCCATTGGGAGTAGCTGAAATAACTTCAAGGACACTGCCACTAGCATTTGAAAAACAGGAACTTCATTTCCTCCACATTCCCAAGGCCAGTGCCAGTGGCTGGCCTCCCTGCAGGGACATCTGCTACTTACATCACCTCGGGGACACCTACTTTTCACGAAATATGCTGTTGGCCTCAAGTTCAGCCTCTTCTCTGGTCTTTTCCATGCCCCGGCCCTCCAGCCTCTGCTCTCTCTCCTTGGGACTCACGGTGAGCAGCAGGACGAGGTCAGGTTTGAGCAGGTCCTTTGGCCACTGGTATACAGAGTGATGGGCTGGGGGCAGGTGCTGGAGACCCCCACTCACCTCGGTGGCTATGGCGTAGGTGGCCGTGCTGTGCCAGTACCTGAGAAGGAAAGGGGCGGTGAGTTTTCTGTTTCAGGAAGAAGTCAAAGTACTTGGCATCTGAAAATCAGCCAGTAAGGAAACTGAGCCAGGGCTGGCACTGCAGAATTTTTCCCAGTTTTGCATAAATAAAACAAATAAAATTCAATTTCATGAAATAAAATTACAAAAATTATTTAAAAAATGATTTTAGGGAAGGAAAACAAAATCATAACTGTAAAAGAAATCAAACCAGTCCTCTATTTCAGCATGCCCAATGGCTTGCCAGTGCCTACAAATGTTCAGCCTTGTCGTGAGACATGAACATCCTTCCCTATCTGTCCCTGGTCTGTCTTCATACTTTTTTCTCCAGCGAGAGAGATGTTCTCAGCTGCAAAATTCCTCCTCTTCCTTCACAGTCCCACTCCAATGACACTCCCAAGCAGAATTCACTGTTTCTTTCTCTGTGCTTTCAACTCCCTTTATACAAGACTCTATTGAAGAATGTCCCTTTGTAAATTAGAGCTAATTGACATATTTTATGTCCTGTGTTAGATAATTAATTCCTTCAGTGGGAAATCTTTCTTAGTCATCTCTGTATTGCAAAACCTGAAAACCCTGTCTTGCACATAATAGGTATGCAAGAAGTGCTCTTTGGATGTATGAATGAATGAATGAATGAATGAGAATTATTTTACTTATTGGCATAGCTTATTATACTCTTACCCTGTTCGTGTCATATTCCAGTGCTAAGTGACTAAATATAAAACTTCAGATCCAATATCAAAGGACTGACACCTACAACAAACATTTATGATATAAATATCCGAGTGTAGAGAAGTATCCATGGCCTTTTCATGATCTGTATTTTCAATATACCACTTTTGATTCTTTAAAATCCTAAATTCTTCCTCATTTAGACTTGAGCTACTTTCCACAGTGAAAAGGACATAGTGAAGCCACTGTGCTATCTGAGCCGGGCATTTGTTTTTAACCTTCTGCCACCCACTAGCTTTGTGGACACAGGTAAGTCTTTTAAGCCAATATAGTCTCAATTTCCCCATCTGGAAAATGGAAATCATACAAGCTTTGTTTTCCTTTCATAGTTGTTGCAAAAATAGACAAGTGTGCAAAAAAAAAAAAAAAAACTATCTCACACTGTCATTATAAGACACTACCCACTTCTTATTGGACGCTGGCCATAACTAAAGGTACATCATTTCAAATGATGATAACATGATACAAACAGTACTGAAAAGGACAAAAGTAAAAAATTAATTTGGGAGTTGATCAATCCTAATATCATCCATCCTTCAAAGCCCTATCCATCTCCAAAAGCGTGCTCTGAGAACTTCAGGCTGCTGTGGCTGCCTCTCCTTTGATTTGTGCATGGACACCCTCCGTGTATCCTTGTCTGACTCTCAGTGCTCACAAATGTATACCTTCACCTCTGCTATCAGATGTACTTTGTCCCCTAAGCTCAGGCAGGGCCCAGGTTTTCTTTTTCGTGGCACTCAAACTGCAATGTGCACCGTGTTCTTCGCACGGTCCTTATGCACTGAATTAAATGCTCAGCTATGAATACAGAGACTGATATCATCTTAATTTAGAAAGTCTTCTTTATTGTAGAAAGACCATCAGCAAGAATAGATTTTTAAAGGTAATAGGGGTGATTAAGTTGCCAACCTTAACCACAGTCACCATCAAAAATTATACTCTCCCATCTTTTTCAGCTAGATGATGGTGTTTTTCTAAAATGAATTTCATTAAAATCTTTAAACAAGAACAAAACCCACCAAGACAACAAATAACTGTTCTTTTCTTTTCATCTGACAAGGTGATACAGTACCTCTTTAAAGAACGAAATTGCAGACAATTCACAGACACAAAGAAGAAAAATCAAGGGAAGAATTAGGGAACTGTTTTCTGTAGAGTTCTCTCATTGACAACACTGCTGCTCATCTTAGATAATCATACCCTTTGGCCATCAATTTCAGACTCTTACCACTATTTAGTATTCTCCAATCCTGCCATCAGAGAAACCACATTATTTCAAATCAAATGCAATTTGCCGACACATTATACACAGCTTATATAAAAATGCTGTAAATTTTAACAGCAATTTACAATTTTCAGAGCACTTCCACGTGCCTAGACTCGTTGGATATTCATCACAAGTCCTGACAGCAGGCAGGTAAGGGATGATGCATAGCCCCTTTTAAAGGATTAGGACACTGGGAGACAGAGCAAAAGCTCCTGCCTCCATGCAGAGGCCGGTGCCACTTCAGGATTTGTGGAGGTCTTAGGAAATAATGTGCTTAATAAAGTCCTTCTAGGAAAATTTTAGCTTTTGCCCTGGAAATAAAGGGGACTGTATCAAAAAAGCATCAAATATGGGAGCATCAGGCACTTTAATAATATGAAAAAACATATTATCCAAAAACAGTGACAAAGAAGCAAGATTTCTTATCCTTCTCAGTTCATTCTAGGATTCCTTAGAACTTGCCAGCTTTGAAATAATTATCTTGCCATCCCCAATAAAACCACCTACTGGCTGTTACAGCCTAGACTACAGCAACAGCCTTCCAGCTAATTTTTACTGTTTGCACCCCTGCCCACCCCAACACCAACACACACTTTATTCACCACATATGCCCAGGGTGTTCTCTTTGTGGACTACTTCAGATGTGCAGAAAAGAGTCCAGAAAAAGATATCGTTTCAAGAAGAGAGTTGAAGTTCTCTTTCTAGGTACTGCAAACTAGCATTCAACTGACCAGCTCACCCACCAGGAGCAAGTGGAAAAGCTGGAATAGTTAAAGTCTGGCAGTACTAAATGCAGACGAGGCTATGAGTCGAAGGGAATTGGCAAACACTGCTGTGGGGAGAGGGGTGGGCTGTAAGTGGACTCCACCACTTTAGAAAATGCTTTGCAATACCTACTGAAGCTGAGTGCAAACTAACCTATGTCTGTACAGTTCTGCTCCTGGGAATCCATGCAACAGAACTGCAGACACATGTGCACCAAAGATGTGTAAAAGTGTTCATGGTAATACAGATGAATCTCAAAAACACAATGTGGTATGAAAGAAGTCAGATGCAAACAGAACTTAATGCAGAGTTGCATTTATGGGCCGTTCAAAAGTAGGCAAAATTAATGTATGATGATGGCAGTGGGGACAGTGGCTACCACTGGGGAGGAGTATGGGGAGTGATGGGGAGGAGATGCAGGTGGGTTTCCAGGGTGTGGCAAGGCTCTCATTCCTGACCCAGGTATAGGTTTGCTTGCATGTGTTCACTTCTTGAAGTTCTTGAAGTACATTTATAACTAATGATTTTCTCTAAACATGTGCCAGACTCTAATGCAACTGCTTATGTTTCCAAAAATAAATAAAACTGCAAAGAGCACAATAAAATGAACACTCGAGTAATATCAAGAAATAATCCAATTGAATTGAAGCCCCTCTGAGCTTCTTGTCAAGTGCATTTCTCTCTATTCCCCAGGGTTTAGGGGATTAGGGTCTTCAATTTGGCATTTGATGTCCTTTGCTCTCTCCACACTTTGCTATATGCGTTGTTTTACCTGTATTCCACTCACTATCTTTTTACAACTTGACTTTTTTTTTTTCCATTTTCCACTGCAGTTTTGTAATTTATTCTCATGGACTCACTGTACTCATTGACACTGCTCGGTGTACTCCATTGATACAGATGCCAGCATTTATTTGCCCTTTCTCCTGCTGGTGGTCTTTTGCTGAAATGACTCCTGTGAGTGTCTGTTGGGCAGGTGGGAGCAACCTTCCCTTTTGCTTCGTCTTCCCGAATTGCTCACCAAGTGGCTGTGCTGGTACCTATCTCCCGCCTGCAGCTCGTGAGGGTTTCTATGGACCCATAATCATCTCCAACCCTGGGTATTAGGAAGTTTTAATCAGTTTTCACCAACTTGACAGGATAAAGTGGAATCTCATTGTGGCTGTGATTTCCCTATCCCTAAGTCCTGGTAATTTTAACTTAGTGTTTTGCACTCAGAATAAAATCCACTCTTTACCACAAGCCCTGCTGATCTGCCCTGGTGGGTAGTGAAAGGTGTTCACTTTCAATTCATCCAGAAAGTACCCACCATCCACCATGTGTCCAGTACACTGGCCTTTTGTTAGTCTTCGAATACGGAAGCTTCTTCTGTCTCTAGACTCTGCTCTTGCCAGTCCGATCCCTCTCTCACAATGCTTTCTGTTACCCTGGCTCTTTTTTATCAGAGCTCTGATCAGTGGTGCCTTCTCAGACAGGCCTTACTAAGCCATCTCTAGTGGGAATCCAGCCGATTTATCCTCTGCCTACTATTTATTGTCCTCTGATAATATCTTACATATTTGTCCTCTTGATTATCATCTCCTTCAATGATAAGTTTGCTCCATGAAAGCAGACATTGTCTATCTCATTTACCATTGAATCCCCTGAATTGACAGGTGCCCAATAAAAGTTTGTTGAATAATCCAATGAACAAATGAACCACTAAAAGTACAGATTTGTGAAGCTGAGACTTTTGTTGATATCTCTACATGCACATACATGCTTATATGTTTGGGAGAAAATGCCAGATTCAAGGCATCTTTATACCTACCTGTCTACAATCACAGGAGATTTGGTAGATTCTTTAGCTATTTCCGAAGCCACAATATAATTGCCCAAAGAGTAAAAAGCTCTTCTAATAATGGTTGGTTCATCATCAAAGATTTTCCTCCACTGGCTAATGCAAGAGGGTGGTGACTTTAAGAGGACAGCCTTGAGGGAATCTGAAACTGACTGGGTCACTGTTGTTTTACCTGTAGGTCATACAAAAAATACATCACATCTTAACTCCAGCCACCATATCACTACCAAAAGTTAACATTAACTTAAGGCAAAGAAATTCTTTCAACCTGTAAATCAAAGGAGTTGATTAAATAAAACAATATTTTGTAAACAGTTCCAGACCCATAGAAATAGGTCCTGATTGGTATTAGAATACTTGGAGAGAAAATATCACAGTCCTCTTGCATATGAGTTAACGATAAACTCCATATCAGAGTACAGACACAAGAGCCCCTGTTATGGGCTACTTTTGTTTCCAGCCCAAGCTTCTGCTCACCCTCTCATGTCACCCACCCTTTGGATACTCTCTCCTCTTATTCCAAATTCATTTGATCGGTCTTCGAGGAGTGACCCACGCATGGCATCCCTTGAGACCCTCCTCACCCCACCTCTTTCCCCAACGTCTTTACATTCTGCTTTGCTGCTTCTATCCAATCCCTTTCCAATGTCAACCCTGGATCTATCCCTCTTCCCTGCTCTTGTCCCCCTGTGCATGGCCTTTAGAGCTTTTGTATCTGGCTTTATTCAGGTTCCTGCACAAGGGTGTGGCTCGTTCTGCCTCATTTCCTTGCTCTCCTTTGCACACCCTCAGTGGTGCACTCCTCCCAGGACCCAGTTCATACATCTCAGCTGCTGCCTGGAGCACAGGATGGGTGGTGATGAAAATATAATCAACTCAAGGACACTGCCAGATTCTCCAAGCTCCTACTGTTTAGACCACATTTTTCCCCCTCTTTCACACACTTAACATTTTATTGCCAACTGTTTATTCCTTTTCCCCCGCTCCTTGGGTTGTCAAGATGGATCCTAACAGTAGCCACAGGTTCTCAGTGTCTACTCTCAGCCAGGCATTCAACACACACCATGCTTCTAATTCTCCCAATGATCCTGCAAAATAGTTACTATTTCATCATTGGGTGAAGAAACTGAACACTGGGGAACTTTACAGATTTACCAAACTCACCCTGCTGATGGGCCTGGATCAAGGAGGCAAACATCCAGCAGGTGGAATCACTAGCTTATGTCCTTTTCTCACCACTGCATGTGATCTCCCTGTACATTTTGTTTGTGTGCATGTGTGTGTAGAGGTGTGGGAAATCAGCTACAGCGTGGGCTCCGAGAGAGAGCACGATCTGCATCTGCACAGTGTCTTTTCCTGGATGCTCAAGGGAATGAGAAAAGTGCCAGGCACTGCAATCACAACACTAGCAGAGCAGCATCCTCCTGGCAGGTCAGAGTCCTTAACTGTGCATTACCTCATCGCACGCTCGCAGCATCTGCACAGTGGGGCCCAGGCATTTACTTATTAATGTGCTTATGCTGAGCAGGGCAATCTGAAGGCTTCACAAGTGTTAAGTTGGCCAATCTCCATGATAACTCTGTAAGGGAGGTACTCTAATTATTGCCAACCTATAAACTAAGGAAACTGAGGCAAAGAATGTTTGTAATCCCACAACATCTAAATTAGCTCTAGGGACAAAATAAATGTTCAACAAAACATGCTGGCTGAAGGATTAACATTATTGAAATCCCTTCTGAGGCTGAAAAAAAGAAAAAACCATGATTGTGCTACAGCATAGCACACACTCAAGTGATGATAGCAGGTCTCCATGAAGTCCAAGGACACTGCCCCGCCATTCACATGGAGCCAGGACAGTCACTATAAGCTATCCACCTGTGCCACAGCCTATCCTATGTGAAACCTGCCTTTTATGTTATTAAAAATGAAAGTCTGCAACTCCTCAGGCTGACACAGGAAGCAGAAACTCCTTCACACAGAACAACATGGACACTAGTGTTCTCCAAGACCCACCCGCTCCTTGGGTGTCTCCTGCTACACTGGGAGCAACACTTCTCCCTCTTTTGTGTTTTGATCTAAGTGCAGGCATGTCCATCATATTTTCATATCTACGTGGCAGCTCAAAAGGCTTTTTTCCCCTCCTTTTCCTAGCTCCACTTTTGCTTTACAAGGGGCCACTGAACCGCCTGTTGTTCCTGAACACACCGCACTGGCTCAGGCCTCTGCACCTCAGCCCCTGCTCCTTCTGCTGCCTGCTTCCCTCACCTGATCAACTCCTTCCTAGTGTACTTAAGGCACAGTCCAGGTATCAGTCCTGGTCACACGCTCCCTCCCCCATGTCTCCCGCAGAGGCCAGATGCAGCGTCCTTCTCGTGTCCGCCAGCGCCCAGGGCTCAGCTCCCCACTTCACGTTGCTTCATACTGGAGGCCTTCCACACCTTTACCTCCCAGGGCCTGACTAGAACAGTGCCCGCCACACAGTGGAGGTGCACATGAGGCTCTGTGTAAAGTCCTTTTCTGCAAGAACTGTTTCTGTTTCTTAAACTGATCAGTTAGTGTCATTGCCTACAAGTAAAAAGTAATATTTTCTTACCAGTGGCATCCAGTCCTTCGATGGCAATAACTGGGAACTTTCCCTTCCAGACCTGCTTTGGGCACTGGTCAACCAAGTCAAGCACTGCCTGGGCTTCAGGGATAAAGGGCGTGCACTGTAAAACAATGTCTGTCCATCAGCAATGGAGCAATGGGGCTTTTGCAGCAACCTTCTCTAAACTGCTGGGGACAAGACTGCCGAATGCTAATAAGGCCTAAGTTATACTGAGCACCATGCCAGGCATGCAGAATTCATGGTATTTTGAAGCCGGGATGGGCTGGATTGACTTATTTTATACTAGGTAGCTGAGAATCAAAAAGGCTGTAACTGACTGGATCCCTCAGCCCACAGCCCTCCCTGACCAGCTTCCCCTAGAGAAGGAAGGCCAGGCAAGACAGGGTAATGCAGCAGCCACAGAACCTCTGGCCCAGCCTGGAACAGGGTGTCCCAAGTGTGGGAAATCAGCTACACTGTGGGCTCTGAGAGAGCATGATCTGCATCTGCACAGTGTCCTTTCCTGACCGCTCAGGGGGCTGAGAAAAGTGCCAGGCACTGCAATCACAACACTAGCAGAGTAGCATCCTCCTGGGAGGTCAGAATCCTTAGCTGTGCATTACCTCGCTGCATGCTCGCAGTGTCTCCACAGTGGGGCCCAGGCATTTACTTATTTATGTGCTTACTCTGAGCAAGGCAATCTTCTAAGTGCTTTGCAAATGTCAAGTTGGCCAATCTCCATGGCAACTTTGTAAGGGAGGTACTATTATTATTGTTAGCTTATAAACTAAGGAAACTGAGGTAAAGAATGTTGAAGAAACTTGCTGCAAGTGATACAACTAACAAAAGCCAGAATTTGGATCCAAACGCAAGCAGCCGATCTTGCATTCTTAACCACTCTTCAACCCTGTCCCATAAACTTTTAAAATATATCTGAGATCCATCTCTAAGATCCACAGGGCGTCTCTAGAGGCCAAGCCTGGACACCTCAGACCCTGCCTCGCCTGTGGTCAAAAAGAATCTTCAGTCTCCTTCGTTAAATATCTGGTATGAGTCAGATGCTTCATTAATCATCAACACTGCAAGATAGGTATTTTACAGGTGAAAGAGAAAAAACAAAACTTAGAGTAGAGTATCTTGCACAGGTCCACAGCCAGTAGGTAGGTAGGTGCTATTTAAGTTTCTCAAACATGGTCAGAAAGAATCTTCAGTCTCCTTCGTTAAATATCTGGTATGAGTTAGATGCTTCATTAATCATCAACACTGCAAGATAGGTATTTTACAGGTGAAAGAGAAAAAACAAAACTTAGAGTATCTTGCACAGGTCCACAGCCAGTAGGTAGGTAGGTGCTATTTAAGTTTCTCAAACTCCCAAACTCATACACTTTCCTCTGCACCCCAAGAGCCCTGTATGGCAGCCATCAGCAAACAAAATTACTTCCTAGATGGCATTATCTTCCACCATTCCCAGTGGCCTCTTTATCTTTTCTGTAATTCTTTCAGCATGCATTATAGCAAGCATCATGCCGCTGGGTGCTGGGGTATGTTGCACATCAGGCTGCAAGTTCCTTGCAGACAAGAACCTTGAAAAAGCCACAGTGTCTAATACAGAGCCTGGCATATAGGACGCCTTCACTCACTGATTTGTGAACGGGGATAAACAAACCGTCCAGGCAAGAAAAGCCTTTTTGGCCACCCTCCACAAGAGCAGACTGGTTGATCCAGTTCTCTGGTCTGGAGGGTCCAGATGCCACCCAGAGCTCTGGGAAGGGACAAAACTCTTACCGCCTCCAAAACTGACCAGGCAGCGTCCACGTCCGGGAAGACAACGTAGCTAGGCAGGTCTGGCACCACGGGGTGCAGCGGGGGCTCCCGGGTGGGCGCCACGCGTGCACACCCCACCTGCACCTGCCCGCCGTCCTGCAGGGCCCAAAGGCGCTGCCACAGCTGGCCGAGCGGGTCAGCCTCGAACTCGCCCAGGTGCGGACGCGGGGCTTCCTGGCACGTTCCCAGCAGCTCGAGCAGAGCGCGCCTGGTATCTGGGCCATCGTGGGGGTCGCGCAGCAGGAAGCCGTGCTGCAAGCAGCCGGCCTGGCCGCCTGGAGAGTAGCAGAGCAGCCTGCGAAGCTGGCACCGCTGGAAGGGGCCGCAGCGCAGCTGTTGGAGCAGGCGCTGATGCAGCCGGGCCGCCTGCACCCGGACCCCACAGCCGG